AAATTGGCCACTGGCGACCTTGTGGCAAGCTTGAGCAAGGAAGCTTCCCCCGGCGAGGTGCTGAAGCTGCGCCGGACAGTGAACGGCCAGCTTGTTTCCCAATGTTCGGTTTGGTCAAGAATTTGAAACTAAAAGTTGAGGTCGCAAACCCGCCCCCAGCACCTCATGCAGCTCCGCCCTCATCACAGCCCCTCAACAGTATGCGCAGCCAAGGCAAGTGATCGCAGTGTTTGCATCCTTAGTCAGTGTGGCAGTATTTATGGAGTTCATGCACTGCATGCAGCACACCACATGCAGCACTCCATGCAGTACCCTCCTGCACAGTAATTTACTTGTCATGGTGCGAACAGTATGTACACGATGAAATTGGACAAAAACTTATTCAAATCCGACAATCCCCCCACTTTCCTTTATTCTTGTGCAGTCTGTGTCCAAATGTGGCATCATTTCTGTCAGCACTCTTGAATGATGGCACATTTTCCTTCACCACTGGGAGCTTTGCAGCTGATGATGTTTCGAAATGGGGCATGTGCTAGTGATAGTAGCCCAGAAATCCAACTACCAGTTGAGTGCCATCAAAGCAACAGGGAGATTCTTGTGCAGTCTGTGTCGAAATGTGGCATCATTTCCGTCAATGCTGTTGAATGATGGCACAATTTCCTTCACCATTGGGAGTTTTGCAGCAGATGATGTTTCGAAATGGGGCATGGGCTAGTGATAGTAGTTCGAAATTCCAACTACCAGCTTAGTGCCATCAAAGCAAGAGGGAGCTACCGAAGGGCCAGCATGAGTCAGCAGCATGTGCTGAATCGTCAGGTGCAATCAGAGAGACACACTGACTCCCAACGGCTGACATCGTGCAGGGAGAACCACAGCATTCCGATTGCAACACATTCTCAGCACAGCCGATTCGGCAGCAGGCACAACGATGCCTTACAGCCCAACAGATACTGCGTGCCACGGTACTGCAGAACATCTCCGCCATAATAAAGAAATAATAGTAAATACAATGCACATTTTGGTGCAGCACAGAAGTTGGCGTTTGTATACTAAGATGAATTTTGCATAATGGACTCCCAAAGAAAGTGCAACTTATCACCAGCAATGCAGTTCACACTGAGTGCTGGCCTTGTGTCAAAACAAAACGTGTACAGTGCAAACTAATGCAGAAACAAGGACGTGTGGAAACTTGCAGAAGCGTCGAGCAAATACTTGCATTTTTTGCCATTGCACTGCATTCTACTGGCCTCATGCCCATCCACTTTCCAGTGCCACGAGTCAAACTCGGACAGCCAATTTCGAGATAGTCGGGAGTGCATCAGCTCTGTGCAAACCCACCAAGGGCTGCGTGTGCGGGAAGGGAGTGGGGGTGGAGGGGAAGCTCTGACATTATTCAATTCATACTGACCCAATAATCTATTGGGACAGTTCTAGTTTAAGTATCAGAGCTGTTGCTGATTAGAGGAGCTGGGGGGCAGTCGCCTGGTCATTACCCCAACACTGCACTGCGCATCTACCCTGGATCGTGAGGGTTCTGGGGCAGCGAAATGTCGAGGGGCCTGATGCGACTGCACACAACTTGTTTTGCACTATTTGCTGACACATTTGTCCACGACGTTACGCATGACTTTGACTTTTGAGTCAATCCGCACGGCATGCAAGGAAACTTCAATAACCCAAGCATTCGATATTCGCGAGTCAAGCACTCCTGGACACTTCACCTCAGATTGCCAAAGCTGCAAAGGGGCAACTCTGGGCCAGTCCTTCAACGAATGTTTAAAAGCGAAACGCAGCAGAACGAAGCCGAGCTGCGCGGCGGATACGCCCAAGTCTTCGGACGGAACCCCTGTGCGGGCGCCGCCATCTCTCCGTCCGTTAAAAAATCGCGCCGTAGACATCCAAGCTGGAAGCAAATGCGGACGGAACGAAACGGGGCATTCAAACACCGCGGGTGCCGAAACAGAGATTTCCGCCCGCCCTCTCACCGCAACCGGCCAATCTCGGGTCACAGCCGGACGCAGCCGTACCGGAGGCAGTCCCCCATTCCCCACGCAGCCGCGAAGTCCCTCAACCGCCATCCAGGCCGCGGCCAGGCGCTGCGCACAGGCGCCCCCACCCAGCCAAGTACATTGTCCAGTACTGCGCACAGTGCAGGGTGGAGTACTGCAGCGCGACCGCCCTCGTCGCCCGTCGAAGGCACGTGACGGGGGTGGGTAACGAGGGTCGGCCGCGCGGTGGGCGTCCGGCCACGTGTGCGTCCACGGGATCGGAACCCCTCTCACCGTCTACGGGACTTCTACGCGAGCCAAGCATCAAGGCGGTGACTAAGCGCTCGCGAGCGGCCTTGGCCCGGTGGCCCCTTTGCTACGGACCAGTCCCCGAAACCCAGGCGGGCTTGACAGGCTCGCACCCGGCTACGCCGCGCCCCACTCCCGCGCGCCCACTCGTTCGACTCCCCGGCGGACCACTTTGCCGCCGCGGGAGAGATCGGCACCATCGGCCGGCGATCGACCTTGGACGGGCGTCGTACGGCGGTCGAGGGCGCGAGCCGGCGCTCCGAAAGCGGGCCAGGGGATCCCGACAGGCCGGGCACCATGGCATCGATGTCGCGCTCGCAAGCCGGATGGCCACCCGCGGAGAGTCGTCCCACCGAGCGGTACACTCCAGATGGGGGAGGAGAGGCGTCGCCGCGGACCGGCGTCCCGTACGACACCAATCCGGGTTCGCAAGGCGTGGTCCGCATTCATCGACACGCGCAATTTTTTCCCTGGGAGGGCGGCGGAAGATTCGAACGGGCGGCGCGCGGCAGGGATAGGATGGGGTGCGCGGGGGGTGATGGCGGCGGGCGGTCGGCCCGATCGTGGGCACAGGCTCGTGGGGATGCCTACCTGGGAGTGGGCGCCGTCGGGAGCGCCTGGCCTGTGGCTGCGCCCGCCCGGCGACCAGTGCGGGGCCTCCGGCCACGCGGCATCCGAATCCGGCTCGGCGGGGAACATGACCTCCCAGGGCGGCTGGCCGTCCCTGGGACGGTGTTCGGCGGTGCTGGGCGCCATGAGCGGCCGCGGCTCCAGGCAGTTCATCCTTCGCGCTTTCACCAGCGACGCGAGGGCGGTGATTTAGGGGCTGCGGCATGGCGTTAGGAGAAGGGTCGGATGTCAGGCCCTGGAATCTGTCACGTTTTTTTTGGGCCCGTGGGCGGTCTGGTGGGGGTGGGAGGGGGCCTGGACCGGCTTCGCCGCACATTCGGGCCACACTTGCGCGGTACAGTACGTGAGCGGGGGCGGTGGGGGGGGCCCTTGGGGACCGGGATGGGAGCGCTCGGGAATTTCCCGGGAAGGCCCCGAATGGGGGCGGGGTGGGTCGGGTGGGTGGCCGTCAACCCGGGATCTGGGCGTTTGAAGGGATCTCGGATGGCCCGGTGCCGGCACACAATTCCTGGCTGCACCAAATCGGTGACTTTCTGCACTAAATCGGTGACTGCTTGCACCAGCTCCCTGCAAAGCATACCTAACCTAAAACTGAACCCTAGACCCTAAAACTAAACCTGCCCTAAACCTAACCCTAGCCCTAAAACTCACCCTAAAACTAAACCTAACCCTAAAACTTAGGATAGGACATAGTGTGCACGTGATTTGGTGCAAGCAGTCACCGATTTGGTGCAGGCAGTAATGTTATTTCCCCGGTGCCGGCCCTGGCGCCTGGCACAGTCAAGGACGCAACCAACGTGTGTCATAACATTCACTCGCTTCGTTTTGCGCCTCGAATGTAATAGCGGACGCTGCTGGCTCTTTGTTAACACCGGAGCGTCAGTATCTGTGGTGGTTAGTTTTAGGGTGCGCCCTAAACCCTGCAACTGCGATTGCAATGTGCGCACAGGGCTTCTGATGCCAAACAGGCTCCAGCCCAGCCATCCTTCATTGAACTTTGCGCTCAAGACGCCTTGTCACAAGACTCGCGAGCGCTCTAGCAGCATCGCCATTCGCACCATCCAAGCGCTGGAGGCAGGTGTGGTGCGCCATACCAAGATTGAGAGAAATTGGCTGTGTGCTGACTACCTATGACTCGTGGGTCGCTTGCCTTCTGTCCTGAAGATGCGAGCATACTTCACGTTCTGCGGGCACCACCCCGCACAACGGTCCAATAACATTTTCGTTTCATTTGCAGACCAGATTTTGCCGGAATTCACAACGAAAATGTACTCAAAACGAAAACACATTATGAACGGTGCGCCACTGTGGATGGATGAGTGCAAGTACAGAGCGCACTACGAAAAGTTTTGTCGGGCACCGCCACGAGGAGCACTTCCAGCCTGAAAGACGCCACGTTTTGAAGTTACTGACATCGCCCTTCAAGACACAAAAGCATTTACATACAGACGCTTGGCGCCTCTCGTTGCGCAATCATGCCTTCTGTTGTCGTGCTCAGCAGGCTTCTCGACGATTTGAGCAACAGGCAGGCCATTTATTGGAGATCCATGACGAACGGAGAGCTGCCTGCGCTTGCCGCTGCTCCATGGCTGGTCTAAGGTCGGGATCCGTCTGATTGGCAGGATCCAGGCTGGCCTCAAGTCCCGACGAATTTTGCAGTGTTGGGGCAGCGCACGTCCACACTTATGCCAACCCGTTGCAAAACAATGTTCGCGCCAAACAACGCCCTTCGCCTTGCGTCCTGCGTCGGCCATAGTTTGGGAGAAGCCACGTCAGCCGTGGGCTCCGTCAGCTACACGCGCTGCCCTGCCTGCGCTCGACATGGCCCCCACGATCAAATCCCGTTGAAAGCGTCCCACGCCGCCCAAGAAAGAATTCTCAAAACTGTTCTTCACCCAGCCAAACCACATCCCAACTGACACACAAACACATTCCTTGTGCGCTGTGGTTTCTTGGGGTTGCAACATATCTTGACACACACGCAGTCCCGGCAAGCCCGCTGCCATCCTGCGCAGCTGAGCACACAGATGCCACCACGCCCGCCCAACCCGCACCAGGGCATCGCCCAGGGGGTCAAGCATCCAATTGCGCCCCCGATCTGACCCCATACCCCTCCGGAATGAACCAGGGGGATAGGTCTACGCCGTCTTCCAGGAGCTTCTCCGTTGCCGGCTCGGTCTTCTCCAGGATGGCACCGTGGACGTAGCCGTTGGTGGCCAGGACGGACCTGTCGAAGACGGAGAAGGCGAGGCCGTCCAGGGTGGTGACGGTCCCGCCCGCCTCCTCGACGACCAGGACGCCCGCGGCCATGTCCCAAGGTTTCAACCTGTATTCCCAGTAGGCCTCAGTGATCCCTGCAACGCAGAAGTTGCCAAGCCGTCCACCCCGCTTTGTTTGGCCAAAGACAGCACGCGAAATTGTGGCTCGTCGCCATGTTGTGGGGTGATCGGAGTCGTTGGGGTGGCTGGCATTGTGGTCCCGTTGTGTGCAACAAATGCACTCACAAGAAACGAGTAGGGGCTGATTCAAGTCCGGGCAAGCCTTACAGATTGACCACAGTGGGCAGATGCGCCTGGACAGGGCAGACACATGGGTCCACGATGGTTCAACTGCTTTGGAGGTGTGGCCGCACGCTTCTTGCCACAGACTGGAAAGCCTGAGACAATGAGCCAATGTGCACATCTCGAAATGCCACGTTGTGAAATAGCCATGATAGCAAGAAGTGGGGGTGGATATAACAGAGATCTATTTGCCTTGTGCAGAGTGTAGCCAGATGTCCATCCTGCCCATCAGTATTTCTACTCCACGTTCACTGACCACCCAGGATCAAAACCGTACAAGTGTGATACTAGCATCAAGGTTCTCTCTACGTTTTTCTGTGTGCATTTGAGACAACACCTCAGACTTGGATCCTGCACAAAGTCTTGGCATCCCAACGCACTCCATTCTCTGTGTGTTGATTTACCAATAACACAACAGCCCTTCACAATGCAAGGGCCAAAGTGCACGTTGCAGCACTGTAGGCGCTGTGTCACATCATGGTGATGAGTCACACGAACTTGGCATCTTTTAGTTAATGTATTGAATTTAGTTAACGTATTGAACACAAGAACACATCAAATAGACATCCTTACCTAGACCAACGTGGCATAGGTCGACAGCAGCTGCACCCAGCCGCCGCACTCCCTGGGTGACGTCAGTGAAGTGTTTGAACAGTTCCATGTTCGCCGCCCAAGCCTCATCATGCTCGTACCCAAAGCCCGTCACCTGTAAATGCTCTCCTGTGTGAGGTGGATTCCTTGGGATCACATTTGTTGCACACTGCAAATGCTGCTGACAAAAGTTTTAGGCACGCATGTGCCTGTACACAAACTGTTCTGTTTGAAATAATGGTAAGATCAAATTATATGTGTGGGTTCATGTTGATCCACATTGGAAGAGAGGAGTGTTAAATGGGTTCAGCGCAATATAATTACGGAGGCCTTTGCAGCAATTGCAGCAATGGCTGGCACATGCTACTTGCTTTGAAGACTTGCTGTTTGCATATCAGATGCTGATGGCAGACTTTCCTTCTCACAATGGACATTTTGAGCCTATGGATCGCAATAGCGGCCAAGAGCAGCAGCAGTTGCTCCAACCATCAGCACAACCATGCTGCAAGATGATGGAGCGAATGATGACAGACCGTGGGCTTTCTTGGCACAAAAATGCAGGGAACATACAGAAGGGATGCAGCAAGAAAAGAAACGATATGCTGAAAAACATGTTCCACATTCCCTAATGCATTGAAAAGGAATAAACCAACTGCTGGAAATATATGCTTGGGCCATAGGTGACCCTTTTGATACAGCATCTTTCAATTAAATTGCAAACAGCAAGTGCAGCAATTTGTCCCACGGAAGCCACCCCCTATTGTACATTTTACTCAGTTATTTGCTTTTCCCTTCCTCCGGTTGTCAATGGGCACCGCTGACGCCTTTGGCAGACCCAAGATATGAACAATTCAAAGATTCGATGGCACATTACAGAGACACGTGGCTCTTGGGCTTCAACCTCAGTGATCAATCAGGCTCACAAGTCTGCCACTGCCCTGTGGGTGGCGCCCACCTCCCAAATCCGAACCACAAGCCAAAAAGAAACCCCCCTATGCAGCCCCCCACCCACCAACATTGACATTTTGACCAAACACAAGCACGCTCTCCTACACAACTCGTTTGCTCATTGCAGGTTCCCCCTCTCTCACCAGTAGTGACTTGTCCAGCGTCTTGGTACCGCTGACCCGCATCCTCTCCCCATTGCAGAACGCGCCCCCATTCCTGACGGCCTTGAATGTGCGCGTTCCCCACACGCCTGGGCCCCCCACAAATTCCACCACGCAGGCCGCTACCGGCAGCGCGTGCCGCAGCACGGCCACCGACACCGCAAAGGATGGGTAGCCGTGGGCAAAGTTTGTTGTCCCGTCCAGGGGGTCCACACACCAGAGGTAGTCCGAGCCCACAGCACCCAGGGCACCGCCCTCCTCCCCCAGGAGGGAGTGGTTGGGGAAGGCAGACGTCAGTACAGACAGGCATGCCTCCTCGCTGGCGCGGTCGGTGTCGGTAACCAAGTCGGCAGCTGAGCCTTTGGAGGTGACGTTCTGGGGCTTGTCAACTCGGTCCATAACTACCTGCGGGGAAGGAAGCATGAGTTGGAGATGGAGAGGGCAGATGAATGCAGACAGAAGACAGCCTTATTGCTAGCTCCCATGGATCGCAGTCGCCAATGTCACAGGAGAAAATCTTGTCCAACGCACCCTGCAGGCGATTGCCCAACATGACAGTAGCCCAGTAATGGAGCCTTGCTGCTCAGGTTTGATTTCAGCAATGGAACTCAAGATAAACAGTATACAAGCTCCAATGTGTGGTGGTCAACAACTCGAACCACTCACAAAGAGGAGAGGAAAACAGGCTTTTCTGTTGTTCCAGAGACGCATTGCAGCTGTTGCGAACTTGAGAAACTGTACTGTGCAATCTCTGCTGTTTGAATCCTCCCCCCCACCCGCCCCCCAAAAAAAAAAAAAACTATCGTTGACACAAGCGACTTCACAAAGGGAAAATTAAGGCGAAGATGATGGTGTCATCGATCTGGTTGGCATAGTCCAACACACAATTCAAAGGTCACCCAATCTGGCCATGAATTTGGCAAGGATCCTACCGACTTAATGCGATTTCGATGCCTACATTGCTAATATTGAGCAGTTCCCTTGGGCCTTTGGAGGGACGGATGGACAGCCACTGCTGTCCTGTGCTCAAGGATTAGAAGGATGGTTTGAAGGCAGCAAGTCGTGAGATGCTGCATCGAAGATGGCGGCAGACAAGTTTCAACAACAGCCTTGGGCGCAGGCTAAGCTTGTGATCTGCCCCTGTTGTATTGTTGTTGAGCTCGTTTGCATCAATAACCCCTTGGGCAGTGAGTTTTCGCTCCTCTGCTGGCTACACATCTCCTTCAAGATTGGCTGATTTCCAACAAATCACTATGATCACAGACGTTGCTCCTTCGTGCTGATGTCGGCCTGTCGATCAAACTAGCGGCGCACACCCTCGACAACAAGCCTGCAATCGGAGGCTTCTGGATCATCCACCCCAGTGCGCCACAGAGAATCAACATCTCCACCTCGTGTGTGTGGGGTGGGTGGGTGGGTGGGGG